ATATATATATATATACACATACACACACTATATCATGTATACCTGTGTGTAAAAACTGTATGATTTACATGAATAACAAATAGTGAACTTGTATATACACTAAGTGGCCAGCTCATTACATTATGACCACCTGACGTTCGTAGGCAAATTAGCTATAATTTTGCGCTGAAGTTGCTAGAGGGCCAGACCATTATAAATAGGGAAGCAGTCTCAAAGACTGGACTGTCAGCCGAAAATCTGGGTCTGAACGTGCGAATTGTGGCCGTCAGCGACTAGTCAATGTTAGGGCAGAACGGAGAGTGGCAAGACTGGTACAAGACAACAGAAGGGCAACAGTGCAGTGTCAGATTCCTGGCATCACCTTTCAACATCTCGTGGAGTCACGAGGCGGCCCGACTGATGGGGTGGTCATAATAATCTGGCCACTCAGTGTATGAATGTCTGTATTAGAATGAAATGCTTGCTGTGTGTTGCATCAGTGTTGATATGCTGCTGTTTTCTCTATATGTATAGCAGAGTGATGTTTTATGGCCATGTAATGTGTGCACACTGCTGAGTGGGGTTGCTGTTTATATGTGTGATGTGTTTTATACGCAGCTGCCATGTCCTCAGGATCACAGAAAACATCAGGATTTGACTTGGGAAGTTTCATTGGTGGTATTGTGTTGACAGTGGGCATCCTGGCAGCAATATACTTTGGTTGCCGATTTTATAACTCCAGGAGGGGCGTACGCTACCGCACCATGTAAGTAGAATCTGCATTATTGTTGCTGTCTGTGTATTACTCTATATTTGGAATGTTTATACTTCATGCAATTTAATTTTGTGTAGTACATGTTACTAAATAAAGGTTGATGGTTATTTTTTGCAGCATTAAGGGGGAGTTTATCATGGAAGGAGTGGTGTGCTAGAGCCGTACTATGGTTATTGGGCAGCACTTAAACCTTGCAGCACTGGGTTCAGTATCCAGTTTGGTTCTCCTTGTGTAGTGCTATCCCAGCGCAAGCATTCAGCAAATAAACTTCCAGGCAACGTTAGAATTCCTTCACGTTCTGCTTATGTCAGGTCAGTGGCTCAAAGTTTTTAAGCCAAAGTATCAGCAAGACCTGAACAACAGTTTTGTTATTTTCAATTTTGAGTCAGTATAGAAGAAATTGTTGGTACAGGATATGATCAGTCTCTCCAACATATACTATTGAAGTCCATTGTCTCCAGTCCAAGGGGAAAGCTGCCGGGATGAGTACGGGCATTTGTTATGCTTCTTCAGGGAACGTACATCGAACACTGTACGGCTGAAACATTAGAAGTTATCAAGTACCTTCAATGAACTAATTTATTTATTATTTCTATTTATATAGTGCCAGCAATTTATGGAGCTCTTTACATACATTCACATCAGTCCCTGCCCTCAAGGAGTGTACAATCTAAGGTCCCTATCTCGCATACATACCAAGGCCGATTTAGACAACAGCCAACTAACCTTCCAGCATGTCTTTGGAGTGTGGGAGGAAACCAGAGTACCCGGAGGAAACCCATGCAAGTACAGGGAGAACATGCCATGCCTATCCTTGCACATTATGTCCTGACCAGGATTTGAACTGGGGACCCCCAGTGCTGCAAGGCAGAAGTGCTAACCACTACGTCACTGTGCTAATAGAGAATCTAAGTTATGGACTAATATGCAGAACTTTTCAGTTTGCCCATTTCAGGACAAAGTCAAAGGTTCTCTTTATTGCCCATCTTGCTACCAGTACTTGGCTTGTCTTGCGAAGCTCTGTGTGGAAAGCGCTGTGTAAGCTCCATGTTTTTTTGCACTTGGGTTTGTAACTGCATAGTTGGAGGAAGGGGGAAAAGGACACATGCTCCCCTGTAGTTGTCAGTACTGGGTATTTCCATGGACTCAGGATGGCAAGGTACTGACCAGTAGAAAACTGCAAGAGGGGACAGAGCCAAGCATAGACGTCAACTAAGAACTTGGTGTTTGCATTTCAGAGTTCCTCAGATGTTACTGCCAGGGTCATTCTAGAAAAAAATGGAGGTTATGTGTAGACAGTGCTGGGTGCTTGCATTTACTTGCTACTGTCAGTTTATATTTGGTATGAGTACAAATCCTTTCAAATAAATGGCTCATTCTAAGTGGGGACAATTCCAGAAATGTAACTTTTCTGAAATGTGTTTTCAGCTTAGGTATCTGTTCACTGCAAAGCATACAGAATATACAGGGATATGGGAGTTGTTAGTGACATGTATGTACACACCCATTGAACCGGATGGTCCAGTCTATTTATTCAAGCTTACCAACTATGTAAAGTAGTTGTGTGATTTACATCTGCTCCTGGGTTTAGAAAATGATGAATTGCCTTATGTTCCACAGCAACTTTAATCATCTTTGTTAGATTTCAAGACCTGGAATTTCATCGAATTTTTAATGTTAACCACTTTAGTACCGGCACGTTGAACCCCCTTCATTACCAGAACGTTTTTTTACATTTTAGGCTGAGAATTACTTCATCCCACACACACTAACCAAATACATTTGATATCATTTTTATAGAGGTTTCTTTTGGTGGGATTTAGTAACCTTTTTTCTTTATTTATTCATTAGTTGCTATATAAAGGAAAAAAAGACAAAAAAAATACTGTTTCCCTTAACTTCTGTTATAAGACCCCATTTTTAAAGTAGACAGTCCAATGTGATCTGAAGGGGTTAATGTGCAGGTCACATACAGTGAGAGAATGGAGGTGAAGGGGTTAGTGTATAAAAGTGCAGGATAAGGGAGGTGAAGGGGTTAATACATACTGTACAAACAGTGAAGAAATAATGATTTGATCCCCTGCAGATTTTGTAAGTTTGCCCACTTACAAAGAAATGAAACGTCTATCATTTTTATCATACGTGTATTTTGTATAATAGAGACAGAATATCAACCACAAAATCCAGAAAAAACACATGATACAAATGTATTTTCCACACTCTACATACATCAGAGCGAGACGGAATGAAGCCAACATAAGCAGAGGGAATGAAAGGGTTAAAATCGTTAAAAACTTTATTCCTTTCTACTGCTGCAGCTTTTCTTAGGAAGTAATGAATGGAGGACTCATCCATTCATTTTTTTTTTTTTTTAATCTCTCCTGCCTCTTATGTGAGAGGAAGGGGAGTGCTTGGCAATTTCAACATGCCATGTGATCACTGTATTAACTAGGGATGCACCGATATATCGGCCGCTGAAACATATCTGCCAAAAATGGCACTTTTGGCATAATGCCGAAAGAGCCATGTTTCGGCCGATACATCGGTGCATCCCTGGTTTCTTTTCTCCCCGCTGGTCGCTGCTCTGTGTTCCAGCGGGGAGAAAAGAAAGTGACAGCCGGCCGAGCGCTGCGGTGGAGAGCGCTGTGAGCGGCCGGCGTCTCCTCCCACACCGCTCAGCCGCCTGTCACAGTCCGGCAGAGCGGTGTGGGTGCGGAGATATCGCTGTCACAGGAGGCTGGGCTTTCCTCTCTACACGGCTCGATCAGCCTACTGTGACAGCGTGTCAGAGAGAAAAGCAATGTACACATACTCAGTGATCAGTGATAGCTGAGTGTGTGTACATGATATAAAAAATTAAATATTTAAAAAAATTGAAAAAATAAAAAAACAGTTTCGGTTTCGGCCTGACATTTTTTTTTTCGGTTTTGTTTCGGTTTCCAAATTTCCATTTCGGTGCACCTCTAATATTAACCAAGCACAGTGATCACAAGGCACAGAGTCGGTCTGATCAGCTCTGTGCTTAAAGCTGCTGCTGTCAAATGTGGGCACCGATCACACACAGGCGGCCATGGGAGGACGTACAGATAGGTCCTCCTGGAACAATGGGGATGTGGACTGGCTGTATATGTAAAATGGCTGTTCTGCAGGTGGTTAAAGACGTACGGGCAATTGGGAAGCCAAAAGACTTGATTTATTAGTCATGTTGAAAAACATACATAAATGACTACAATTCTAAGAAATGAAATGTGTGCTTCACAGTTCAGATTGAGGGAGCATGTGTCCTTACACTGCCAGTATATCGGTTATGTTAGTTGCTTTGATGGTGTTGGTTTTACATCTATGTAGTACTGACTTCTTGCCACTAGATGGCATGCTTGTTTTCTAGCTAGCAGCACAAAGTTTCTCTGAAACATACGTATGACATTTTAGGTTCTTACTATGTATGTTTCTGTTGTGATTCCCCCTGAGTTTCTCTCATATAAACTGAGAATTATATTTTCACAATTGGGACACAGAAGGCGATACAAAGAATTCTGTTCCCCTCCCCCACACAATCTAAAATGAAATGTTTTCACTTTACTTCCAGTTTAAAGCCGAACTCCATTTCAATTTCGGATGGAGTGGGGAAGAGTTACAATTTTTGGAGAGATTTTCTCTCACTTCCTGTCCCTGTACGTTCTAACTCTTCCTCACTCTACTAAATATGTGTCCTTTTCTGTTTTGTCTTTGTTGGAGAGATGTCATATCACTTGCTGTCCTAACAGGAACTGAGGGGGAAATCTCCCCAATAAGGACACAGACAGCAATAAAATCCTGAGAGAACTATGGCCAAATCTTTTTTCTCTTTTGGGTGGCAGGAAGACATTTACCAATATCCTCCTGTGACCCAAAACTCAGCAGAGCCACGCTGCGTCTGGGAAAGATCCCGACAATATTGTCCAGAGCCAGCTGAGCCCGCCCCCTCCCCTAACTGTCCCTCTAATGAGCACTGGAGTAACAGAGAGGGCAGGGGGAAGCCTTGCAGGGAGGAATGACTGACAGTGACCGCTCTCTGCAGGGAGGAGACCGTGAGCTGAGCGATCAGTGGTCACATGATCGCTCAGCTCTCACTATATAGAGCCAGCATGTGACGGCTCCAGTGTCAGATTTTGGCTCTAACTAGGGCTGCAGCTAACTATTATTTTCATAATCGATTAGTTGGCCGATTTATTAAGTTCGGTTAATCGGATTAAAAAAAAAAAAAGGCTCCAGTGATGGACTACTAGTTTCTATTGAGATTGTAGTCCATCACAGGAGCAAGCTTGGCACGGTGGAAGTTAAAAAAAAAAGTGTGGTGTGCAATATAGTACATTATACAGCGGCGCAATGCAGAATACCAGCAGCTATAGAGGAATGCAGCAATAGTGCATTATACTATAATGTACTATTGCTGGGATTTGTAGTCCTCTGTAGCTGGCGTTATTCTGCATTGCGCTGTAGATCATTTATTATCGCTGGGATTTGTAGTCCTCTACAGTGCGCTGTATAATGATTATACGGCGAAATGCAGTATAAGAGCTCACGGCTAGGAGGAGACCAGCGGCGTGCGCGGCTTCAGCCTGTTCGGTGGGCGTGGCTTATGCGGCGGCCTGTGCGGTGGGCATGTCGGGAGCAGCGTGTGACGAGGGAGCATGGAGCCGGCTTCCCGGCTGATCAGGAAGCCGGGCAGCGTGTAATGACATGCTGCCCGGCTTCCTGATACAGGAAGTATCGGGCTAGGCATCGAAGCATTTTGGCGAGTACGAGTACTAACCCAAATACTCGGTATCGGTGCATCCCTAATTTTTGTTCTTGGGTTTAGAAATACATTAACTTTTCACTGTACTATCAAGAAAAGTGTGACTTTTAGACTTTGTTAGGTAAGCTACGATGTCAACAAAGGACGCCAGTTAGAAAGGAAGCTGATGCTCAGCCAAAGAGAATGCCCAGATATTGGCCATGCCTAGTGTGTAGCTAGGACCACAGTTTCTGCTCCTTTTATATATTGGCCATGCCTAGTGTGTAGCTAGGACCCCAGTTTCTCCTCCTTTTATATATTGGCCATGCCTAGTGTGTAGCTAGGACCCCAGGTTCTCCACCTTTTTATATATTGGCCATGCCTAGTGTGTAGCTAGGGCCCCAGGTTCTCCTCCTTTTATATATTGGCCATGCCTAGTGTGTAGCTAGGGCCCCAGGTTCTCCTCCTTTTATATATTGGCCATGCCTAGTGTGTAGCTAGGGCCCCAGGTTCTCCTCCTTTTTATATATTGGCCATGCCTAGTGTGTAGCTAGGGCCCCAGGTTCTCCTCCTTTTATATATTGGCCATGCCTAGTGTGTAGCTAGGGCCCCAGGTTCTCCTCCTTTTTATATATTGGCCATGCCTAGTGTGTAGCTAGGACCCCAGGTTCTCCTCCTTTTATATATTTGCTCAGGTCTGTTGACAGGAAGAGAATACAAGATCGAGAACTTCCTGTTGCCGTTTCCTCTTGTAACGTTTGTTCTTTCTGTTGCAGCGACGAGCACGAGGCTATCATTTAACTTGGCTGATGGTGAAGCGCTGTGCAATAATCTTTCTGTGGAATCTGCTTGCGTCTTTGGAAACTGAAGTTATGCAAACATAAGCTTGAAAAATAAATTTAATGAGATGAAGTTTTATATTATTATTGTGCATCAGCATAATACAGAGGTTGTTTTGTTTTGTTCCAAGATCTTTTTTGCAAATCAAAAAAAAAAAAAAACCTTCTAAAGCTGTTTTGTAGAACTGTGAACATTTAACCTCCTCCACCTCCCCCACATGGAACCATTGAATAAGAAGATTACTGTGTTCATTGTTCTGCCCGGAACATTGGAACTGAAAGCCAGCTTGGATTTAGTTCTCTGCAAATGATCGGACTGGACTGAACCACTAATTAAGGCAGGCAACATTTATAAGTCTTGAAGGTCAAGTAACTGCAATGGTCTATAGTAAAACTGAAGTCCTGCCATATTTTGTCAGCTCAAACATGCTGGGATTTGAGTGTCACCACAGCATCATAGAGTTCTCAGGGATGGGCAGTTTTCACTGATAGAGATGGGAGAATCTGCTGCAGTGCCCAGGATATTGGCCATTATACATAAGTAGGTCTAATGCTCCGAATCTAAATTGATGCACCTGGTCCGTAGACGATCCAATTCCCTCATCTCTGTTTAGGACTTCTGTCTTTTCTTGAAGCAATGATTGCTGCCAACCACTTTTTGGGTTTTAGAGTCATTGTGGTATCACAGTTGGGTTTAATAGATGTTGTGATATGAAAAAAGTGTGCCTTGTTTATTCTGCAAAATGTTACTCATCACGGAGCTTTCTTGCACAGATGTGGTATCCTGTGCTCATCTATAGCATGCAAGCTGATCTTTTCATCAGACGGTTTCCAAATATAGGTTTTCATTTTGGTAAATGTATGAGAAAGATGTCAATAGAAATATACAGTTGCCATCCTGACCTCGCTCTTCCTCAGGAGTTTTCCTGCCTACTTAGTGTAATGAGCATGTGAAAAGTTGAGTTGGTTTTTCGGGACCTTGAGCTCTATGACCAGAGCCCAGTCACAGTGCAACCCTTATTGGTTGGTTGTTGGGGAACCGTCAGCTGATCTTTACTGCACAGATGAAGTCCTAAGCTCATCTACGGCATGCAAAGCCCGTATTTTCATCAAAAGTTTTCCAAATTATAGGTTTTTATTTGGTATGGTGAAGTGAAGCACCAGTGGAAAGATAGTTACCACCCTGACCTCACTCTTCCTCAGGCGTTGCCCTGCCCACTTACTGTAATGAGCTTGGGACTAGTTGAGTGTTGGAGAACCTTCAGCTGATCTTTATTGCACAAATGTGGTATCCTTCGTTCAGCAATGGCATGCAAAGCCCGACTTTTCATCAGAAGTTTACTTAAATGAGAAAGTGAAAAGTTGAGTTGGTTTTTCGAGGAACCTTCAGCTCTATGACCAGAGCTCAGTCACAGTGCCAGTGCAACCCCTATCGGTTGGTTGTTGGGGAACCTTCAGCTGATCTTTACTGCACAAGCTGCCTAAGCTCATCTATGGCATGCAAAGTCCGTCTTTTCATCAGACGTTTTCCAAATATAGGTTTTTATTTGGTATATGTATGGTGAACCAAGGACAACCAACTCATCTTTACAAGCACATTACAGTAAGTGGGCAGGGCAACTCCTGAAGAGTGAGATCAAGATGGTGATGATCACCATCTTGATCTCACTCTTCAGGAGTTGCCCTGCCCACTTACTGTAATGTGCTTGTGAAAACTTGAGTTGGTTGTTGGGGAAACTTCAGCTGATCTTTATTGCAGATATGTGGCATCCTAAGTCCATCTATGGCATGCAAAGCCCGACTTTTCACTAGAGGTTTTCCAAATATAGGTTTTAATTTTGCATATGTACGGGGAAGCAAAGTGTCAGTAGAATGATAACATCACCATCATGACTTCACTCTTCTTCTGGAGTTGCCCTGCCCACTTACTGTAATGAGCATGTGAAAAGTTGAGTTGGTTCTTGGGGAACCTTCAGCCCTATGACCAGAGCCCAGCACAGTGTAACACCCTCTCTTCCCACTGACTACTAGGGAGGCAAGGAAACTCCCTACACTCAAAGCTGACGCAGCTTCAGAATAACAGAACATTTCCGTGGAGGGAAAAACATTTATATGAGTGATTCTGAGTAGGAGTGATTTTTCCAGTCAGACATCTGTATGTGTTTAACTAAACATCCTGGAAACCATGTGAAGAGGTAGAAGTAGACGGCTCTGGTGTCTGCTCTACAATCTGCCTAATCTCAGCATCAATGTATTTTATATTTATGTTCATTGGAATTTCTGTTGCATTTGTTTTCATTTGAACACCTTCATTCTGGGTCATTGAGTATAGGGATCATCAGTGTCTGTTGGTGTGTGGCAGTGCACTGCATTTCTGGCTTTCTGCAGATTATTTTTAAACTGGCTTAGGACCAATGTGTACAGTCTCCTTCTGAAATGCTATTTGCCTGGCTGACTTCAGTACCTAGCGAGAACAAGGTTAGGTTTAAGGTATTTCAACTTATTTGTGGCTTTCATTTGCTGCGTGTTTGTTCCAGTTATGTGATTTTTTTTTTTTGTGTACTGAAGCCAGAACTAGACAAGCAGTTGACATTTGAAGGAGGTTCTCTGTGGCGGCCCAAATATTCACTTTAGGCTACGGCAAACACCTATGTGCCCATGTCTGAGAACCACTGTGTTATTGGTTACTACTACTGTGCGGCTTAGGAACATTGATCATCAGTAGGTTCCTGTGCTCCTCTTTCATATGTGACATGTTGGGATATTCCATTCCGGACATAGGAGGTTGAGGAGCTTTGATTTGTTTTTCTACCCACTGATAGAATTTCAGCTGATTCTGGTGACTCGGCCAAAACTCTAACAGCGTATGCTTTGTTCATTAGATTTTGGATCCTCAAAGGCCAGCTTCATTTTTTATGTGCCAGATTGATGTATCATAGTAGAAAAATGTCACCAGCACACCATGAGTTGAAAAAGCAAAATATTTTATTGCCAATAGCTGTATCTCATTGGCAAGCGCTTTCGGGCCCTCGCAGGGTCCCCTTCATCAGGCTTAGAGCCAGAACTAGACAAGCTTAGAGCCTGATGAAGGGGACCCTGCGAGGCCCCGAAAGTGCTTGCCAATGAGATACAGCTATTGGCAATAAAATATTTTGCTTTTTCAACTCATGGTGTGCTGGTGACATTTTTCTATTGTTCATGTGTGGCGGTGCCATCCGCGGTCATTTCGAGCACCCATCCTCATCAAGTGGGAATCCCGGTAAGGAGTGCGGTATGGTTCCTGTTTCTGTAGATTGATGTATCAGCCACTCTGATGGGAGGGGGTGGGGGTTACCTCACATTAAACATCTACCAATGTAAAAAAAATAGATGCTAAGAAGTTCTTTACTATTATTGTTTTGCTTTTTTTTCCTCTTTAGTGCACTGAGTTGTAATTAATGTCATGAAATTGTGCTTTTCACTTTTTACCGGTTTGCAGCGTGCTGTGTTTCCAAAGCTTGTGTCTTCATAGGGTTCCTTCTTCCACTGAAACTCACAGAACTACTTACAAGGTAAATATACATTGGTGCTCTCTCTGCACTTGTGTTTGTTCTAAGTGCACCCTAGGGTAGGTGGGTCTCGGCAAGACTGTATGATGGGTGAGCTCCAAAACCATTTATACGAGTACTCTAAGGAAGTGTTCTACAGCGTGAATGTCCTAAATATTGATTGTCCTGAGCATTCCCTGCATGCTAAAGTGTTACACCAACTGAGCTAGACTTACTGAGTTCAAATGTGATTGAAATGGAACCCCAGCCCAGAGAGAGCTATTGTACATATCAGGGGTGTAGCACTTAATGCTTGGGCCAAAGCTTGCTAGGCGCATGTACAATCTGCAGCAACGCAATCAATTTGCTCGTTTTTGCAAAGAGGTTTGGCATTTTTAAACTGCATACATGAGTGCCTTTAGAGGACGTGCACTAGTTTTGTAATTTTTTATAAGATTCCCACTATTTTTTCCAAACATTTTAAACTTAATACTGGATAAAAGCATTTATAGGGAAAGGCCACACAAGACTGAAGATCCATTGTGGGATCTGAGAATGAGAAAGATAACATCCAGTGTAAAGCTGGTCATACACTGCCAGTTCTTTCTTCCAGCGGGCTGAAGGAGTAAACCCGCTTCTGTTCTGTTCTGTTTTCTGCTTCAACCCGCAGGCTGAATAAAAAAAAATATAGAGCAGATTCCTCCATCAACAATACAAAGCTCATTGATCCAGGAATCCTTGTCGTTTCTTTTGTATTTTGACAGCGGTCGGTGGCTGATGTCAGAATACCTGAACAGAGTTGGCAGCTCAATGGCTACCGGCTCAGTTCGTTTTGAAGTTTTTTCAACTGGCTTCTTTGCTCAGCTGATGAAACTATGCGAATTTCCACTGGTTCTTCAGGAACCACATAATGTATGGCCAGCTTTGGCTGTTAGGGTTGATGGAGTATTCCCCCCATCCCATTGGGGCTGGCAACCAGCATCCCATTGCCAGCAGTCATTGTTCAGCCAACAATTTTCAGGCTGACTCCTCGACACAAAAGTCAGTTGAGCCAGCAGAGCTACCCACTGATTAAGGCCATGCATAGGGCTGAAACGCGGGCAGCTTTTTGTTTGCTGTTTTTAATGCCTTGGATAATAAAGTTTACATCGAGTGGATCCCCTTCGTGTGCCGGTTTTCTACAATGCACTTCATGGGGTCCAGCAGAGACGGACACTAAACACCGCAGTTCCAGCCTGATTATTGGGATAGGAGGTTGAGGAGCTTTGATTTGTTCTTCTACCCACTGTTAGAATGTCAGCTGATTCTGGTGACTCGGCCAAAACTCTAACAGCGTATACTCCGTCCTAACTCCTGCTGCTGCCTCAGTGCTCCTATTACAGTCTCCTACTTGAATATCACACTTGGCAGCCAATCAGAATGGAGTTGCATGAAGGTGAGGACAGTGTATCAGCTTGTTGTCCTATATAACATGCACATAAAGATTGCTGTTGGATGATATTGCAGCCGTCCA